GATATGATAGAGGTCTATGAAATCATGAGTGGTGTGGAGAGGGCCGATAAAGAAAAGTTATTTATTAGTTCCCTAAATAGAAGAACTAGATGACACCAAATGAAATTAATGGGGAGCAGGTTTAAAACTAATAAAATAAAGTTCTTCGTCACACAGCGTGTAGTCAACCTGTGGAACTCCTTGCCAGAGGAGGCGGTGAAGGCTAGGACTATAATAGAGTTTAAAGAGAAGCTAGATAATTTCATGGAGGTTAGGTCCATAAAAGGTTATTAGCCAGGGGATAAAATGGTGTCCTTGGCCTCTGTTTGTCAGAGGCTGGAGAGGGATGGCAGGAGACAAATTGCTTGATCGTTGTCTTCGATCCACACTCTCTGGGGCACCTGGTGCTGGCCACTGTCAGTAGACAGGATACTGGGCTAGATGGACCTTTGGTCTGACCCAGTACTGCCATTCTTATGTTCTTATGGTTCCTCTAGAATATTTGGTAACTGGTAGGTCAGTTTCCTCTTGTGTATGCTGGTCTTTCATACAGAGAGAGGAGAGGATTCTTTTTTTAAAAAGTGAATGATAAACCCACAAAGACTGGCTACAATTCAAAATATGAAATCAAAATATTTCTAATTTTTTGGAATTGATCAGATTTCAAATTTATTTCATTAGTTCATTTTCCCTTTTTGTTATAAAAACAGAAAGAACAGGACTAGTTCTCAAGCTGGCAGATGAAATGTTTGCTTACACATTTAAGAATAGCACATATTAATTATAAAGTTATTGAGAGAATAAAATGACATGTCAGTTTTTTTATAGATTTGCTTAATTTCTTTACTGGTACCATTGTTAGAAAAGAAACCGAGGATAGATAATTAAAAGCTAAAACAGATATCCAGTTTGTAAATGTTAGAGCAAAACTATCCCACAGTTCAGTTAAGAACAACATATGTTACCCAGAACTGCCAGGCTTGGATAGTTTGTATCACAAAAAGGCACTGTCAAAATATTTCAAGATTTACAATTGCTGTTTTGACCACGTGATGGTGCATATTTAACTTCTTGGAAGCCTGAAACAGAAATTTATTTTTTTTTCTTTATCAGTATTTTTTTCATACTGTTTTGTATACATTTTTGTGTTTAAAGAATTGCTTGCACCAAAAAACACACATCCCTCAAATTTCCTTTCTTGTTCCCCAAATGATAATGTGTATAAAACCCACATATGATGAAAAAGTGGATGAATGTAGAAAAGTTATATTAGGAACATATTTAATGTATTTCCTTAGCTTTCACTCTTACTGAGTGCAGTAAGAGTTTTTCAAAAAAAAAAAAAAAACAAAAGATCAAATTCTCTGTGTATTTTCGTTCTTCATTCATGCCTCACTCCTGTCTATCTTATTTTTCTCAGCTGGAAATAGATTGAAGCTATTAGATATACACAGCAATGCATTTTAATAGTGCTATAATCTTTTACAGGAAACTCTGATAGTGAGTACTCCAAATACATGGTTGTTTGATGACATCATGAGATTAATATCTTCATGCAAGTCTATTGTGAATTTCCTTTCAGCTTCTGGCTTTCTCAGTTTGTGTTCCCCTTAACTTCCTGCTGTCCGTTGGCCAGTGTTCGCAGAGAGCTTGGTCATTTTTGAACCGTGAAATATTACCTATGTGAAATAATAGCCTATGTTGCATAAATCAGGTTTTAACTGTCAGTTTTCACACTCCTGTAGGAAATGCAAAGTTAAACTATGCCTAATCATGTCTCTGGATTTTCTCCCTAGTGATCTGTCTTTGATGTGCATTTGTTCTTATTCAGTGTATCAAAAGGGGCAAATAAATTCACTCTTTAAAATATAGTCATGCGCATGTGTAGCCTCTATTCATCAGAAACTCTCAGACACTGTTTATTAATGAAATCTTATGAAACTGCAGATATTACACCCTCTAAAACTGCCTATGGTCTAACGTCTGTCTTTAATACTCTAGTCTTCTGGTTGTAGGTATTTAAATTGAAACAGCTCTATACTATAAATTGAGTAGATATGCCTTTACAGTTTTCTGTTTATCAGATATTCTTTTATTAAAGTTTTCATCTACAGACAATAAAAACTTTGTAAGATCTGTTTAGTAATGTGTCCATATGGTGGATTGTCACAGTATAATATCTCATTTGCCAGCTTACTACAAAGTAATGTGAATTGTGTTTGAACAGGACTTGCTGCTTGCACATTTCCTTAATTTCCAAATGTGGGAAAAACTTCTACGAATACAGGGAGATATTTAGTTAGCAAGTCAGCTCTGATTAAACTAAAACTCTGATTTGCATTAAGAACTTGTAATGTCTTTCCAGTGAATACTGGATATTCAAATGGAAGGTTACATGTTGACATGTTTGTAAATTGTTAATTTTATATTTTCATTACTTAGTCACTGTATTTTTTTTCCCCAGTGCATTGATAATAGCTGCAGTTTTTGACCGTGATATTAACTGCAGAAGAGCTGCCTCTGTAAGTTATTGGCCTTGTCTTTTTAAAATGTTCTTTATAGTTTACTTGCAATATAAGTTAATTTTATAGAACTAGGCTACATCTACACTGGCAGCTTCTTGCACAAGAACTCCTTTGCAGAAGAGTTCTTGTGCAAAAACTCTTCCACAAGAGAGTGTCTAAACTGGCATGTGCTTTTGAGCACGAGATGTGCTTTCGTGCAAGAGCATCCATGGCAGTGTAGATGCTCTCTTCTGCAAGAAAGTTCTGATGTCCATTTTAACCATAGGGACTTGTTGTGCAAGAAATTCATGTTGCCTGTCTACCCTGGACTCTTCTGGAAGAGCTCTTGCGCAAGAGGGCTTCTTCCTGAGAGGGAGCGTCAGAGTTCTCGTGCAAGAAGCCCTGATTTTCTACAGTACAACGTCAGTTTACTTTCGCAAGTACACGCAGCCAGTGTAGACAGGCAGCATGTTTTTGCGCAAGAGCGGCTGTTTTCACGCAAGAACGTGCCAGTGTAAACACAGCCCTAGAGTATATAAACAAAATGTTGTATATATTTAACAGTAAGTACTTTATTAAACTGTACAGAATATAGTCTGAGTGCATATTAAAATATAAATACCATGGCTTTACTTTTGATATAATGGCTCCATAGTTAAAATATGAGCTTTTATTACCACATTTCCATAGTGAAATACAATCAGTTTCAGAAAGAGCTGTTTAGTAATATATACTATGTACTATACATAAGGGTCACTACTAAGATATAAAACTCTATGCTATCTATGTGACATCTGGTGTGAAATTCTATTGTATGTCCATTGTCATTTTCTAACAACAAAAATAAAATTAAAAATTCATTTATGTAGAAAGATAGAGGATGCCTTATAAACATGGAGCTCTTTCTGAAGAGGTAGGCTGTTTAAGTTGGTCACCACTGTAAGTAACTAGGATAGGATGAGCTTACAAAGCCATGAACAGTGTCTTGTGAAAACTGTCTGCAGGACACTGATGCTGGCAAAAAGATAGGAAGAGACAACTTGACTATTGAGAAGGAAGAAGTCCATGGAGGAGAAGTTATGATATTCAAGCAGGGGTTGGGAGGAGATGGAAGGCTAGGATATGCTTGTTATGCTTGAAGATCTAATTCCAGCAAATCCAACCCCCTGCTAGAAGCAGGACCAGTCCCAACAAAATCATCCCAGCCAAAGTTTTGTCAAGCTGGGACTTAAAAACTTCTAGGGATGGAGAATCTACCCCCTCCCTAGGTAACCCATTCCAGTGCTTCACCACCCTCATAGTGAAATAATTTTTCCTAATATCCTAGACCTCCCCCACCTCAACTTGAGACCGTTGCTCCTCATTGTGCCATCTGTCACAACTGAGATCATCCTCTCTCCATTCTCTTTGCAACCCTCCCTCCCTCCTTCAGGTAGTTGTTGGCTGTTATCAAATCCCCTCACTCTGCTCTTCTGTAGACTAAATAAGACCAAATCCCTCAGCTTCTCCTCATAAGTCATGTGCTCCAGCCCCCTGATCATTTTGGTTGCCCTACGCTGCACTTTCTACCGTGCATCAACATCCTTTCTGTAATGGGTGTGTGGGGCCAGAATTGGACGCAGTACTCCAGATATGGCCTCACCAGTGCCAAATAAAGGGGAATAATCTCTTCTCTAGATCTGCAGATGATGTTCTTACTAATGCACCCCTATATGCCATTAGCCTTCTTAGCTACAAGGGCACACTGTTGACTCCTATCCAGCTTCCCATCCACTGTAATCCCCAGGTCCTTTTCTGTCAAACTGCTGCTTAGCCAGTCCCCAGCCTATAGCAATGCTTGGGATTCTCCCCTTCCAAGTGCAGGACTCTGCACTTGTCCTTTTTGAACCTCATCAGAGTTCTTTGGACCAATCCTCTAATTTGTCTAGGTCATTCTGGACTCTAAACCAATTATGTACTCTTAGTATATCTTTTAGAAGTGGGTGCCTGTCTGTCTGTCCATCTGTCTGTGTGTCTGCTTGTTCAAGAAATCCTCTAAATGGTAAGAGCTAGGGCCACCAAATTTAGTAGGCAGCTTTCGCTTATCATAACTCAAGGAAGGCCAGGGTTTGGTTGTGCCAAGACAATAGGATGTGTCTGGAATTTGACGGTTTCTCATAAAATGGTAAGGGAGGTGTCTGGAAGAAGGGAAACTTTTTTACTGTGGAATGACCATAGCAGAGAAGTAAGGGGGTCAGAGATGGGGATTAGGACAGCTATAACTCCATTGGGCCAGGAGAGGATAGGGGTGGAGAAAGGGACAGCTGTCTACTCTATATTTTGGAAAGTTTGTGTGTCTGTTTGTCTGTCTTTGTCCCCCAGATGGGGGACATGCACCTCTTCTGTGGCTGTACCTGCTACAGCTGCAGAAGCCATGAACAGGTGCTTTTTACCTGTCCCCAAGCTGCTGCAATGAGAGAGGACTGGGGGTAGTACACTCTCCCCAGGACAGCTTACATACTGACCCCCTCATCTCCAGCCCCACCCCAGCATAATGATTTAAATGAAAAAAACGAAACTTATTTGAGATAAGGACCCGAGCAATTCCAGGTAAATCTTCTAGTGTGTATATATAACTTGATTAGATTTTTTTTTTACTTCCTTATAAAGATCCTAGCCCTGAGGAAGGCGTCTCGAGCTTATAACAACTAGAACAAACAATATTTCATGCAAAAGTTAAAAACCTATAACATAGTTAATAAGCTGTCCGTATGAATAACACAAGACCTAAAAATAACCATCAACAAACTCTGTGTCCCTCACAGGAACTAGCTTTCCAAGTGCCTCAAAATGATGGGCTTTGTAGCATATCCAGAAAGTTTTTAAAAAAAAAAAAACCCTCTATTCTCCTATTGGCTAATGTATTCCAAAGCCAAGGAAGACTCCTCGCAGCAAATGCCCTCTGATACCATTTCTGTCTCCTATAGTCCCCCTCTTTTTAAAAGCTCATGCTGCTGACTGAAGCTGCCACATTATCATCTGGATATTGTCTATGTGACCAGATCCTTTTGTAGGTTAAAAACAAAACCTTACACTTCATAAAGCAAGAGCATAGAGTACTGGTATAATGTGCTCCCTGCGTAATCATCAACAAGTGGGTGGCAAGTATGCGTGTGCCCTAGTTTCAGCTTCTGTATAGTCAGAACATGTTGCCCCATGTAGAAGGCATTGTACTAGACTAATTTCCAAGTCCTAGATTATTGCAGTAAGGTGTGTGTATGGAATTAAAGGTTTGCACCATCTTTATTCCAAGTATTGTTGAAGAAAAAAGCACGAAGGGTGACATTGTCTAGAAACTAGTTAGTTAATTTTCATTTTTCAAACCGAGAAATCTACAAAAAACAAACAGGTAGTATAAATGATGAAAACTTATTTTTCGACCTGACTGCCTCTTTGAGTGCACAGCTAAATAGAATTTTGTATGAATGCTCTAATACCCATGGTTCATCTACTGATGCTAATTAAGTAATTTCAAGAACAAAGTGATTCCCAGCATTCTTTTCTGAATGAACATTTTGTACTAATTGTATATTGATCCCCACAGCAATTTCTGCATCTAAACTGGTCCATTTAAGCCTTGGAAAAAGTGATATGCTTAAATAATTTTTTTTCAGGGTATGTGCCCTTTTTTTTTGCAGATAATTTGCTTGGTATTCTAATGGGGTTTTTCCTCTCTAAAGTTCTATGATTGGGTCTAAATAGTAGAACTGATAGTTCAACTATGAATGAAGGTGCCAAAATTAATACTGACTAGAACAATACTTACTAATAAGGCACAGTGGGGATTGCTTTTCTGTATTTCAAATGGATACAAATTAAAATATAATGATTTGCCCCGGGTTACATGGATCCGACTTACATCGGATCCCTACTTACAAACAGGGTGAGGCAACCCCGCACTAGCTGCTTCCCCCCAGCAGACCAGGGAGACGCAAAGCTAGCACCCCTCCCAGCCGACCAGGGAGACGTGGAGCGGCTTTTCTCAGCAGACACCTCATCTTGAGAATAAAGGACTGAGGGAAGTGAGGTGTGGGAGAATAAAACTGAGCTCTGGAGAAATGTTTGGCTAGAGTTTCCCCTACAATATGTACCAGTTCCGACATACATACAAATTCAGCTTAAGAACAAACCTACAGTCCCTATCTTGTACGTAACCCGGGGACTGCCTGTATTGCTGTCCTTGTCTACTTACTAGCAGACAGCTTGAAAACATGATTTTAACGTGGTTCCTCACTGAAAATGTAGTATATTATATAAAGCAGGGCTACTCAACATTGGAAGCCCCAAGGGCCACAATGATACCTCACAGCACATGCTGAGGGCTGCAACTTAAGTGTGGTTGCATATGCATGCAAATATATATATGCAAATAGCTTTTTTTCACACTGAAAGGCATGAATACAAAGATTTTTTTTTTAAAACGGAGATTGCCTATCTCCTAGAACTGGAAGGGACCTTGAAAGGTCATCGAGTCCAGTCCCCTGCCTTCGCAACAGGACCAAGTACCATCCCTGACAAAGATTAAGGCAAAACTACACAACACACAGGACCCATTTAAGTGTTTTCCTGGTATTAATAAAACACAATATTTACCCGATTTCCACCCATATGACAGCACTTTTAATGAGCAATGACAATCCAGGATAGGGATGTGAGGAGAGAATATTCTCTGGAGAATAATCTCCGAGAACAAGAATATTCTCCAAAAGATTATTTCCTGAGAATTGTTGAGAATTTTCTAATTTTTCATTTAATCTTGAAATAATTTATTGTATTCAACTTTTAGAACACCCTGATTGATTATTCAGGATAGTTTGAGAACGTTATAGAACATTCCAGGATGTTATGGAACTTTCTAGAACATTCATGAGTCAGGAATTCTGACTGTTATGGAACTTTCTGAAAGCATCACAAAAAGTATATAAAGAGGCACACACATTTTCTTTTGTGAAAGGTGTAATTGTGTTTTTATCAGTATG